GTGTATTTAAGGAGTATTTTAAACTATCTCAGTGTATTTAAGGGAGTATTTTAAACTTAATCTCAGTGTATTTAAGTAGTAGTATTTTAAACTATCTCAGTGTATTTAAGGGAGTATTTTAAACTATCTCAGTGTATTTAAGGGAGTATTTTAAACTATCTCAGTGTATTTAAGGGAGTATTTTAAACTATCTCAGTTAATATATATATATATTGATAATTAAAAATACGTTTAAGGTACCGAGTATAGACTTATACACAAATCTTTATAATCTAAAGCACTGGAGAGGGAAGGAGTAGTATGATTTGCATATTATTATATATTTCTCGTTGCTTTCACTCATAAGTTCTTAGAATCGTATATTCTGCTTCAAATATTCAAATTTCTGGGCAATTATAAATGATCGTTTAAAACCATATATGAATCCCAATGTTATTTGTGCGACGTTTTATACTAACCCGTATACAAAGTTGGCGGTTATTTTAAAGTTTATTTCAATTTTCTTTTCTTTCAGTTTAACCTTTCCCCCCTTTTTGTGGGAATCGTCTTTATGGTTATGGGTTTGTGTTACGCTATCACAACTCCCGTGTGGGGCGTGTTGGTGGACAGAAATGTATGTAAGATTTTACAAATTTTGAAGAAACGTTGACCTTAAGCTTTTATTGCAAAAAAAAACTTATTATTCTTCACCAAGTATGGTAATTTTGGAAATGGTGTTTAAAACTCACTAAACTTTAGTGAAACAAAAGTTTAACAATTTTAAATAATTTATCTAAAAGTAGGTTTTGACGCTCTGCATATATATATATATAGGTATATACATGAAATAGCTTTAATATTTCTAGAAAAACGTTTATACATTCATGTTTTTCTTTTATAGTACAATCTATTCTGTGTATTCAATGTTTGAAATTATATTTCATCATTTTATATTGTATTTAAGTTGGAGAACAGAAATATCTTAAGTGTTAATCCAATCAGAATATTTATATTCAAATATAATGGAACATCTATTATACCCAACAGAATATTTCGAAGTTAGTTGGAGTCTTAGGTTGTGTATTTATCGGCGTTGCCTTTCTCTTTGTGGGTCCAGTTCCGTTTATGCCTTTTGATACGTAAGTTGAATATGTTTTTTTTTCTTGATATTAATGACCCATATCTAATTTCCTGTATTATGAAAACAATCACATTAACGGTTGAAAGAGGTTTAAATTGTTTTAAAGTAATGCTTTCTGAATCTACTTTGTCTTTACTTATACACTAACTATAAACAGCCTCTTCTAAATTTTCTCAGCGATTTCGGTTTTCACTTATAACTTTATTTTCTATGTTTTTTAAAAAAATTAATTAACTGTGTATTTTCGTAACCTCCTATTAAACTTTTCCAGCATCTTCAAGTATTTTTCGGTCCCGTTTTTTTTCTTCTTCTTCTCTTTGAATTTTCTTCTTCGTCTATTATATGTACTTTTTCTCGGTTTTTATACAATTTGCCAAATTCATTGTCCTCCACTAAGAATTTCTTTCCTTCATATTCACTATTTTCTTCCATTACGTTTTTTTTTCTATTATACTGGTAATCACTATTACACCTTCAAAACTACCTTACAAAACTAGCTTAAACACTTTTGTATTATTAGGGCGGCTACCATAAATACGTTTGGCGCCATTGAACAACGTACACTCTCACATATGTCGCTCCATGTCCACTCCTGAAGAAGGATGATCTACCTTACGAATGCGCTTGAGTGATCGTATTTCTTTAAATATGTTTTTTCATTTAATAAACAGTTAAGTTATCCAAATAAATTGCAATCGCAATTATAATTTAACCATATAATTTAGCTTCCTGTTTACCTATTTTTGTCATATTAGATTGCAATTGGAGCACTTATGAATTACTAATACGCTTCAATATTTTAATAATGTATTTGTATATATCGCATCTAGTGATTTCAATTTCAATATTTTATAAAGTTTAAATCACCTATTCTATTATAATAGAATGGTGATGGTTTTTTAAAAAAAGTTTTGTTAGTTTATTTTTTAACACAAGATCTCTTCCTCAACTAGAGGCGCCTCGGTGACAGGGATCGAACGTAAACATTTCGAAATTTATTAAATTTTTGCGAAACTCAGAAATGATATATCATACGACAGAATATAATTAAAATTTACTGTTTCCAAATTGGAAGAAAATTGACGGAGTTATGGCTGACCACACCATCATCAGAAACCCTATAATTAATGACAGTATTCCTTATTGTGCAAGTGACGTGTCCGCCACGTTAGCCTTCTTCTTCTTCTCTTGTTCTAGCATCTGTTTTTTAGATCATAGTCTAATAGGACCTCATCAGATAGCTCCAAGTTCGGCTGATCGTGACCGACACTTTGCTACTCTTGGGTACGTCATCAGTCACCATTATTCCCTCAATTACCATAATGTGCAAGGTTCCGAGATGTTTGCCTTGCAACCTGTGCAGCTGCTATGAGGCGATGAATATTTTAACAATACTTGTTGAGCTAAATTCATCTATCAGGTTTAAAGATGTGCCCCCAGTGGGACAGTGGTAAGTTTACAGGCTTATAATGCTCAAATACGGAGTTCGATTCCTTGTGGTGGACACAGCAGATTGCCCAATGTGCCTTTTCTGTAAATAAACAAATAAACACAACAAAAGATGCCTTGGCATCACTCAAAAATAGATTTGGTGTTAACAGGGACAGTAATTATACTAGAAATGACATTCCACCAGATCAGTAGATCAAGAACTATATGTTCAACCACAAAGAGATAATGAAGAAAGGTTGCATAATTCGATTTGAGAATAACAGAAAAAAGATATAACCATTCGTGTGTGCGACCATTGCTGGTAAGGTGGTGTGGCCACAGCTCCCTATCAAAATATGTTACCATCATACGGATTGCAGATTTGGATACAACAGATTCTGGACTTTTCCGGATTTATTTTGTTTCTTGCCCTGCCACCCCAAAAACACTAATTTACATTTGGTTGAGGAAGAGATACCGTGTTCGACGTTGTCATGAATAGTAAACTTCAGTTAAACACACAATGTATATTGATATTTTAATCATTCCATTGTTGTTGCTCCACTTTTATGATCTAACAGAACAAACTCTTACATTTGCGTTAATTAATAACTTGAACTTATAATATTTGCAAGAAAAAGCTCAACTAGTTTATAACAGTCCTTGTTTCGTCTATTGTTTTAGGAAATTATGGCTAGTCATCATTTCCTTGCTTTTGCATGGAATAGGCTTAGGTGGGTCTCTTGTGGCACCTTTCGCCGGAAGTTTACGAGACACAGTGTAAGTTTTATTTTTATTTGTATACTTCACAATAAATAATAGCTTTTGAACTGAATAACGGTAAGGAGCAGTATATATATATTGGTTTCTGAGATTTGTGATTATTACTTTAAATGTTTTTGAACCTTTACCTGTCTTGCAGATAGATAGGATTAAAGACATAATTTGATGTTAATAAAAATCATAACCCTAATTCTTTTATGTGTAATGAGTTAAGTAGAGTGATATAAACTACAGCTTATCAACTTAATCCATTTCACACAGAAACAGTTATCATTCGAACAGTTGGTGACATACATAACGCCTCGACCACTGCCACGTCTGTGGCACCCTATTTGGCCTGATGAGTACTGGTATTCAGTGAAAGGCCTCGTCGGCACTGGCTATAGCAGATATAGTGTGGTTGACATATTATTATTTACTGACAAAACTAAGCACAGATAATTATGAAACGTATAACTAAATCGTAATATTGGAAACACTTTTGATTTTTGAGTCAATGTTTACAATCTGAACAATATTTGTGATGGGACGAAGCCCTTTAAAGTTGATATATTTTTAAACAAAACTGAGTCGTAGTTTAACTACAGGAGAAACAAAAAAGTCACAACTTTTTTTGTCATGTTGCTTTTATAGAAAACGTGGGTTTCCTGACGATTTGACAACATACGGACTGGTGTCTTCTCTTTTCGCAAGTTCCGCATCTCTTGGGTGAGTATACCATGCATAATTAAATTCTTGCTAACATATCATGAGAAAAGAAGCAGGTAATATCAATCTTTAAAGATATAAATAGGAAAAAAAAACATGAACGGAAAGTAGGGATCCTTGGTTATTCCTAGTACTGCTATAAGAAGTATCCAAACAAAATAAATGCTATAATAAAAAGTACATGTACAAGTAAAATGATACTAGTTGTACAGATTCCTACTTTGGTTAACATTGGGATCCGTATAGCTAAATAAAGCAGTCCAAAATTTGACAACCGAAGTAGGGATTGAAAATTGTTTTAAAATCTGTCCATCTTGTATCACTATACTTGTTTGTGTACTTTGTATCGCAGCATTTATTTTGTTTTGGATAATTCTTATAGCTTGTTTGTTTGTAATTAAGTACAAAGCTACACAATGGGCTATATGTGCTCAGCCCACCACGGGTATCGAAACTTGGTTTATAGTGTTGTAAGTTCGTAGACATACCGCTGTGCTATTTGTGAGTGGGGGTTCTTAGAACAGTTCTACGAATAACCAATGATCCCTACTTCCCGTAAAAAATTTTAAATCTATTTATTCAGTTTTTATATGTACATGGAATGGACACAAACAACATCTATGAAATTTCAGTATAATCATGTTCCTGATAGTTATAACTTGTACAAGAATTAAAATCACAAATCTATAAAATGTAATCCTTACTTTGGCCTACAGATAAGTGCATAAGGATGCCAAGATAGAGATTAAATTTTATAAGTTTGTGATTACGGTTTTAATTCATATTTCATTACTTTTTATAGCAGGATCCCTACTTCATTTTAAAATTCATAATTTCTTAATACTCTTGTTTGTTTACTTTTTATGTTATACCTGTGTAAAGTATATAATCTACCTATAGAAACCTTCACGTGTCGATCCACCGATATGTAGCGCTATCCTTTGGGTTGAAAAGATAATATTTAAGTACATGCATGATATGTTTACTATTTATATTATATCTATATATATTTATTGGAATATCAAAAGCGGATCCTCAAGACTAGTCAAGTAATCTGGAGAAATCTTGTAGCAATAGTCCGAGCCGTCTAGGGGCTAGCCCTGCTGACGTGATCAGGTAGGTAGGTAGGCAGTAGACGAAAAAGTTGCTGTTTTAGAAATTCTGGAATTATTATACCGGAAACGTTAGCGACCTTTTTAGCGCATTATTAGTATATATGCGCATAATATATCGTAACTAATACTTTGAATGGTCGGTTTTTTTTTGCTTAAGAATTCAATAGGGTGGTTTTTCGGCGCGTGAATTATTTGGAAATCTACCGTTAAGGCATAGAATATTATTGTTTGGTAGATACCCTCCCCTGCAGTAGACACGGTACACTGTGCAACTTTGTTATTAAAAGCAAACAAACAAATACATAAAGGGGAATAACGTGATTTTATTTGAGTACTTGTAGAATTTTTTGTTTTAGTAACACAGGAGTTACTTATTGAGCCTGAGTCGGGCGTGGTAAACAGAGAAAAGGAAGTCTTGTCATTCTCAGTATTTGTATGAATTTTGACCCAACTTGTATTTGACCCATATACCAGGGTTCATGATTCACGTCCTCTTGCCGCAAAAAAAACAAACAACAAAAACAACAACAATCAAACAAACAAACAAACAAAAAAAAACAGAAACAAAAACGTGCTGTGTCCCTTGAGGTCATGGATTTGCTAGAAGAGTGACGGTACATCTCAATGTTAACTCGTACAGGAGTAACAAGCGTTGGTGGTGAGTGACACTAACTAGCTGTCTATATATTTCATTTAGTCTATCAGTTTAAAATTAAGAACGGTTTTGTGCAGATAGCCCCCCCTTTTTTTCTTTTTAGCTTTACACGAAATTTCCGAAACAATTTTGTGTGGTTGGTTGTAGTTAAGCACAAAGCTACACAAAGGGCTATCTGTGCTCTGCTCACCACGGGTATCGAAACCCTCTTTCTAGCGTTGTAAGTCCACAGACATACCACTGTGTCACTGGGGAGCTTCTTAAACAAACTAAACTTTTAAGCCAAACTTAATTTGCAAAATAAAACTATTGGTTTTACACAATCACATGTTTTGTTGTTGTTAGCACCTATGTTTCTTTTTTAGTTCCAAGTTGTAGGTAAATTAATTAAAAATAGGTAACACACAAACAAAAAATGAGCCTTTTATAGTTGTTTTTTTTTGAGAATTTTTAAACTAAATGATTCAATATGCAGTAAACTAACGAAAAATATATTGTATTAACCCTAAAAGAGCGATTATGTTCTTTAATCTGATCCCTTGCAAATCATTTTCCAATTATTTCAGTTCTTTTATCGGGCCCTCTATCGGAGGTTACTTGTTGGAGACGGTAGGTTACGAAAGTGGAACGGTGGTAATTATGACTATTGAAGCCACATTGGTAAGTACTTGTCCAGTTGTTTTTTTTTTATAAGGTTTACCTTGTAACCATTGTTGATTCTAGACATAACAGCAGAGATTACAGATTATGCATAAGCAAATGTAATAGATAAGTACAGAAAATGAGAAAAAATAAAAATATGCTACTTAAGTTAGTGATATATACTTATTATTATTATCACATAATTTGTTGCCACCGCGAGAGGTCGTGTCATACATTTTTTGTACAGAGTCAGTAGAATTGTTCAATGATACAGTTAAGCTCAGGTTGGATAGCATTCTCTACCATCCTTCTAGCTGGGTTAAAGACAATGGATAAAACTTGGAATTGGGGTATTGAAATATAATATTTTTGAACAAGCTTCGAGTTGCAATAGTACATTATTCAATAACATACTACATTAAAACCCTCAATCTTTTGCAGACTTTTTACACAACTCCGGAATCTGCAGATACGGGGTAGTAGTGGTACACAACAGAAAATAGGTTTTATAGTGTGACATTATTCTAGCTCAGTAAGATTTCGAGGATTTTAGCATAGCATGTACACATACACCAAGTTAGAATATTGTTTCTGTGAAAATACGAAGCTTTTTCCTTATGCACGTGGTTTCTTGTTACACTGTATTGGGTGTAAAGTGCGTGAGATTACAATTGCATTAAAATATAGAACAACATTTGTCTTGGGTATTTGAAACACCAGTAACAATTCTATCATACTATTCTCTGTTGTAGATCGCCCTGACACACTTTGTTACAATCAGGGTAAACTTGCACTATGCTTTCTATTCTTATTCATCTACTTTATTTAGGTTGTACTTATTCTTATCAGAAGTATACTCATGCTAACGTAAGCATGGCAAATTGCTCTTTATTACTATAATCAATAACACATAGATTTAGAATTAGGTTTTATTCACTACTGGGAGCATAGCACTTTCTTCGTTCGCCCCTGTCGATTTATTCGTTCTCTCTCACATCTTCCAGTCTTCTCTTACTTCTTTGAACTCCTATTTTTTATCTCTCTTTCTCAAGCCCACGCCGTACAGGCCCGTATTTTTTTTAACCTTTCACATTTCATTTCTATATATCGAATTATAACGTTTCATAATCATAGGGGGTCCCATAATCTCCATTATTGCTGAACAAGAAAGGTGACCGCCAACTCTAATCGTTTTCTAATAACTTAGAGTGTTATAATCCTTTAATTCCTTAGAGACTGAATATAAACCGGACACTTTCTCGCTTCTGTCAACTCCAACCGATGTCCCTTCCATCAAACTTCATAACAGTCCCATTTTATGTGAATTTCATACCAATGAGCATTTTACAACTGTACACGCAAACAATACCTCGTGACACCGAAGTAAAAACCGATAAACACTGATCAAGGCACATCGAGAGTTAGTTCAAAGCTACTCTATTTGTCACGCAGTCTTTCTATGATGCTGACTGGTTTCATGCAGAATTGATATTGTTGGGTAAGCTTTCAGAAAGTTGTGTATATTAGAGACAGTGTAAGAATAATTTCACACGTTCCAAGTCTACCAGTTACGCGAACCTTCCAGTGCTGCTGTAACTCGCTGAAAGATAACTGGTAATTTTTGTTATATATTACTGTTTAGACTTCGATTTTACTTTCTCTGTTGACTTAAAGCGAACAAGGTATTAATTACTTAACCTATCTCATTAAACTAACATAACAAAGTGAAGATCAGGGGCTATATCAAGATGATGGAAATAGGTTGGGTAACTCATTATCATCAGAAACATGGCCAGGGTAATAAGAAAGAGTTTGGCTACCTAACGACAGTCGACTCACAGAGAACCCAAGAAAGCGATGGTTGGACAGGGTTTCTGAAACTTCGCACCGACACGAAACTACCCATTTTACCCAGAAAAAGATGACACCTTCCCGTGACGCCAAATGCAATGACTAGCAGCTAAAACAAAAGAAAACGATGGTTGGACAGGGTTTCTGAAACTTCGCACCGACACGAAACTACCCATTTTACCCAGAAAAAGAGTACATCTTCCCGTGACGCCAAATGCAATGACCAACAGCTAAAACAAAAGAAAACGATGGTTGGACAGGGTTTCTGAAACTTCGCACCGACACGAAACTACCCATTTTACCCCAGAAAAAGAGTACATCTTCCCGTGACGCCAAATGCAATGACCAACAGCTAAAACAAAACAAATAAACAAACAAAATATTTTATTTAAGTTATATGGTCATATATTTTGAATCTTTTACATGATGTAAAGTTGTATGTGATATCAATATAGGTTTTAAAGACTATGTTTCCTGGAATAAGATCTTGTGAAAATAGATTTAACGATTACTTCATGTCGTCCGTCTTCCATGATCTGTTTTGTTGGTAGCAACTACCACCACATCTCTCTGTAGACAATATGTGTGACGTTTTCGATTAAACCATCCACACCTGCATCTTATTTCGATTTTTAACTAAATCCACGCACGTGGCACGCGCCTAAAATATAACTCTAATCGATGACAAATCCCTGCTGCTGTCTGGGTCCGATTTCTTTGCAGGCTTTAACACGCGTTTTAGCCCTCAGATGCATACTTTAACACGTGTTTCAGTCCTCGAATGCAAAAATGAACACGTGTTTCAGTCCTCAGATGCAAACTTTAGCACGTGTTTCAGTCCTCAGATGTAAACTTTAGCTCGTGTTTCAGTCCTCAGATGGAAACTTTAATACGTGTTTCAGTCCTCAGATGGAAACTTTAGCACGTGTTTCAGTCCTCAGATGCAAACTTTAGCTCGTGTTTCAGCCTTCAGATACAAACTTTAATACGTCTTTCAGTCCTCAGGTGCAAACTTTAACACGTGTTTCAGTCCTCAGATGCAAACTTTAGCTCGTGTTTCAACCCTCAGATGCAAACTTTAACACGTGTTTCAGTCCTCAGAAGTTAAACTTTAGCACGTGTTCCAGCCTTTAGAATGTTTTTTCACCTGTATGAACAACACAATGAAATAAATACGTGTGGTATCCTAACTTATATATATACACCTGGAAAAAAGTTAAGCACCCCCGTGTTTTTTTCAAGTGATTCAGATTCGACG